GAGTGCCGAGATGCTGGGAAGGTGTCCCGCCAGAGGACATGCAGGCCTATCCCCTTCCGCACACCCGTCCACAGCTCCTCCCGGGTGTCCCCAAGCTTCGCTCTCTGATCAGCAGCAACCGTTAAGTGCTTTCGCAGTCTGTCAGCCATACTAGCCAACCGTGAGCTTGAGGAAGGGGTCCAGGAGTCCCCCATTGTCGCTGGTCAGCCATGGGCTCAGAGGTCTCGACTTGTCTGCCTGAAGTGCGTGTGTGTGTGTGTGTGTGTGTGTGTGTGTGTGTCAGGGGCTGTGGGGTTTGCACTAACTCCAGGGAGCTCACCGAATTGCTGAATGTCAGGTGGTCACCAGAGGATCAGAGACTTGGCTGGTGTGAGAAAAAGCCACACACTCAGTGTCAGAAGGGTTAGGAGTGAGAACAGCTCAAATGGAAACCATTACATGCTTCCCCAAAGAGCAGGAAAAAGGCAAGAATGCCCTATCTCACAGTCCCCAGTTTTTTTGTTCCTTTGTTTTAGAGAAAGTTTTTGCTATAAGGCATGTGCACTCACCAGAGAGAGAGAGACAGAAAGTGAGAAATCACCCCCAGGGGAATAGCCATGCCACAATCCCTCCTCCTCCATTCTCCTCTGGGAATTTTGGGAACACACACACACCTGGTGAGAGGTTTTTATTTTATTTTTTTTTAGAGGTCTTTGCTATAGGGCACGTGCACTTGCCAGACAGAGACAGAGAGACAGAAAGTGAGAAATCACCACCCAGGGGGATGGCCACACCGCAATCCCTTCTCCTCCATTCTCCTCTCAGGATTTTGGGCACGCACGCACATGCACCCGGCATGAGTTTTAAGCCACCGGGTCCTGAATGCAAACCGCGGTCGACTACGTGGGAGTCCAGTGACATAGCCATTACTCTAACTGCTGGTCCCCCTGGTGTGAGTTTTAATCCTCCAAGTTCAGGACTTGAAAAGTGGTGGACTACGTGGAACTCCAGCGATGTAACCATTACACCATCGGCTGGTCCCGACCCCCTACTTTTTAGACACCAGGTACCAGTTGCATGGGAGACAGTTTTTCCCTGGTAGAGGGTCATGATTTATGAGGGCAGGCAACCTAGGACCCTCACACACACAGTTCCTAGTGGGGTTCGGTTCCCAGTAGAGTTCGGTCCTGGTACGGTTTGTTTCACACTAGGGTTTGGCTTGCAGTCAGGTTTGGTTCAGAGCAGGGTTCGGTTCTGGTAGGGTTCAGCTCACAGTCGGGTTGGGCTCCCCATGGGCTCAGCCCCATGGGCTCGGCCCCTGTACGCTCGGGCTCCTGTGGGCTCAGCCCCTGTGGGCTCCACTCGCAGCAGGTCTGCTCCTGTGCTGCTGCCCTGACAGGGGCAACGCTCAGGCCGTAACTCCAGAGACAGGCGGCTGTAAATGAGAGCTGCACCGCTCGCCCGCCACTCACCTCCTGTGGTGTAGCCCGTGGCTGGGACCTCCTGCCCTGTGTGAGCCTGTGTATTCGACACTGTCCCAGTGACGCTAGGCAGCGCAGCAGAGAAGGGTGAAATAAAAAGAGCGGTGGTGGCACCGCAGCAGCCGTCCCCCTCCGTGTGACCCTGCATGGGCACGCTACTGCACCTCCAAAGGCTGCTTTCCCCTCCGGTGCTGCATGCTCCCGGCTGCAGAGCGAGGTCGGCGACTGCTCCCACTTCCAGGTGAGAAGAACCAGCGGGGGCTAGCAGTGCACAGCGGCCGAGGGCGGGACTCCCACAGGCGGGCTGCAACTCGAGTCCCAGATTTGGCGGCTTGAAATCATGCCGGGCACATGTGTGTGCAAGCTCAAAGTCCCAAGATGACAATGCAGGAGAAGGGATGGCGGCTCAGCGATCCCGCGATCCCCCTGGGGCTGACTTCCTCTCTCTGTCTCAGTCTCTCCAGCAGGCACACACGCCCTATGGCAAAATCTTTAAAACTAAAAAATAAAAAAAGAGGAACCAGCAGACCTACCGGTCTGACACAACACCCTGAAGGCCGACTCTCCTTCCCTCCAGCGGCTGATCCACCACAGCTGCGGGCACTGAGCCAGCAGCCCGGGCAGAGGTGGGGGCTGTGAAGCGGCGTCGGCCAGTGGAGGCCCGCTGCCCTGTGTGGACTGCCACGAACACGAGCCCCGCAGCAGCGCCAGGCCTGTGGCCCACCCATACATGCCGGGGGCAGAGCCAGGCCACTCTGCGCCGGAAGCCTGCAGGGGTGCACAGGACATGACGTGCCCACCAAGAGCATCTGCACTTCATACCACCCCACCCACAGCAGTGACTCGTCACGGTCTCAACCACCGCACTCCGGGAAGGATCTACGGGGCTTAAGGGGCCAGATGCTAGCACAGAGATCAGTCGACACCCTGGGGAGTCCCTGAATATGCGCGTGACAGTGAGCCAGGGTTGGACCGGGTAGGAGTGGGGGAATGGCAGCCACCACGGCCCCCTGGGTGCCACTGTCTCTCTCTCTCTGTGTCCCGCCCTGTCCCCGTCTCTCAGTCTTTCTCTCTCTCTCTTTGTCTCTCTCTGTGTCTTACTCATGAAAGAAGAAAAGAAACTTTAAAGAAAGGCAAATTTTACAAAGTGCTAGGTCCTCAGGTACTCAGATTTAAATACTCAATAGCGCTTGGTTTTCAGGTACTCAATACTAAAACTCCTACTTTTGTATACAAACAGCAGATACTTGGAAAGTTAAATTTAAAGTAATTCCCTTAAGAGGTCAGCTGGTGGTGTGGTTAAGGTGGCTACATCCCGCATGACTGCCTGGGCAGCTCAAGTCCTGGACCTGGGTGTGAAACACACTCAGGACACATGTGAGTGAATGCCCAAAACCCCGAGAGGAGACGGGAGGAGAGATGGCCTCTGGGGGTGACGGGCGATTCCTCCCTCCTCACCCCTCTTTCTGTTTCTCTTCAGCGAGGTACATGCCATGTAATAAACTTAAAAATAATCTGTGATTTAGGGGTAGTCAGATGCTTCTTAAATAGGTCATAGGGATAGTGTAATGGCTATGTCGCTGGACTCCCGTGTAGTCGACCGCGGTTCACGCCCCGGACCTGGTGGCTTAAAACTCACGCCGGGCGCATGTGTATGCGTGCCCAAGATCCCGAGAGGAGAATGGAGGAGAAGGGATTGCGGCGTGACCATCCCCCCTGGGGGGTGATTTCTCACTTTCTGTCTGTTTCTGTCTGTCTGGCGAGCGCACATGCCCTATAGCGAAAACCTCTCAAAAGAAAAAAAAAGAGAAAGGAATAACCATAAAAGAACGCGATTAACTTGATTGAATCCAGATAAAACTAACGTCCATCAAGCACACTTGTAAGAAAATAACAGGGCAAGCTACAGCTTCAAGACGTGTGTTGCAAAACACGGATGAGTGAGGACAGGTAGGGTATGCGGACTCCCACAGCCCAGACCTGAAAGGCAGCCCTCCCTGAACAGGGGCCGGAGATCGGGGTAGACGCCTCGCAGAGGAAGACGGGGAACTGCACACAGCGCAGGGGAGGGAGCGAACTGATGTCAGCCACTGGGGAAACACGATTAACCCAGCGTGAGACCCGCCACCCTGCAGGACGGCGGGGACAGAAAAGAGCAAAGCCACCAAACGGTTGCGAGGCTGGGACCCAGCCAGAAGGCGCCCATTGTCGGTGGGCAGTGACACGACCGCCTGAAAAAGGCGACGGCTCCTTTAAAACTTCGACATGCACCTGCCCTAGGGCCCAGCAGTGCCAAGCCTCAGTATTTAGCCCAGAAAATTAATGCGTGCTCAAGAGGCGAGAGACAGTCCTCAGGACAGCATGATTCATGAGAGCTGAAACTGGAAACCCCACCTGCCAATCACAGGAGAGTGTAGAGTGTGGAATTTCACGCAGTGAAGTGCATTGACACGTGGTCATGGAAGGGGTCATGGAAGGGGTGGACTCCCGCCTGGCTCAGGGCCGCCGTGTCAGAGCACTGACAGCCGGGACCATGGCTGTGCTGGCGCACCGAGGGCAGGAAGCTGGAGACAGAGTCACTCTGCTGGTCAGTCGTCTGCTCTGAACACGGGAGGGTCCCCGGATTATGCAGGGGTCAGTCATCACTAGGGTCCCTAAAAGCTGAGAGGGGGAAGGCAGGTGGGAGGGGCGTGCTGCGGGTGCCTGGCCGGTCACTGCTGGTTCGGAGATAGAGACAAGGGCCAGGAGCCGAGCAACTCAGCACTCCCTGGAGCTGGAGGAGGCCATAGAACAGCTTCCAGAGGGGTGCGGGCCTGCGGACCCCAGGTTACCACAGAGTGAGGCCGGGCCAGGCTGCCTCCCAGGACCTGTTCCATGGTCAATGTGTGCTGTTTAAGCTGCTAATTTTTTTTTTTTTTTGAGAAGTTTTTTGCTGTAGGTCACATGTGCTCACCAGAAAGAGAGAGAGAGACAGAAAAGGAGAAATCACCCCTGGGGGGATGGCCACGCTGCAATCCCTTCTCCTGCATTCTCCTCTCGGGATCTTGGGCGCACACGTACACGCGCCCAGTACGAGTTTAAGCCACCAGGTCCGGGACTCAAACCACGGTCGACTACATGGGCATCCAGCAACATAGCCATTACGCTAACTGCTGGTCCCTAAGCTGCTAAATTTATGATGCCTTGTCACAGCCGACATGGAAAACCCATGCACTGCAGCTGAGAAAGAACTATACCAAGCAATCAGGCATACTGCATAAACACGAATGGGTCCATCTTGATAAAGTTCTGCAACAGGCCAATCCCTGTGACGGGAAAAGCAGCACAGTGGGCACCTCTGGGGTGATGGGCATGTCCGGCATCTCGATGGTCAGGGTTGCAAAGCGTGTATGTTCTTAAACTTAGCTAACGTATTTAGGATTTGTGCACTCCACTGATTGTAAACGTTACATCAAAAACGAGAAAGTGTAAGCAAATGCCAAAATCTATGCAATGACAGATGAAGTATTTATGCCAACTATGGGGACGTCTGCAACTCACCTGCCAGAGAAAAACGAGGTGGGTGGCCCAGTCTTGGCGACACCGAGTGGGTAGACATGGTAAATCAGCTGCAGGAGACTCAATGACGCCCACTCACATGTCACTGCGGGGTTCTTCCACTTTGCTACTGGTTTGAAATGATTCATTTTCTTTTGTTAGAGTTTCTGTTCATTTGCTGTAGGGCTCATACACTCACCGGAGAGAGAGAGACAGTGATAGAGAAAGTAAGAAATCACCCCCCAAGGGAACGGCCACACTGCAATCCCTCCTCCTCCATTCTTCTCTTGGGATTTTGGGCACGCACGCACACCCAGCATAAATTTCAAGCTGCTGAGTTGGGGACTCGAACCACAGTTGGCTATGTGGGAATCCAGCACTTTAACCAACACATCGTCTGCTGGCCCTGAAATTGTTTATTTTTATTAAAAAGGTAGCAGGTTGAATCTGAATAAAGAATCACGAACAAGCCTGGACCCTTGGCCTAGTGGTTAAGGCCTCTGGATTCTACGTGACTGACATACGGTTTGAACCCCTGCTCTGGCAGCCTGGACAACACGCTGCCCAAAATCTCAACGAGAGGGAGAAGTGGAGCAGAAGGGGTGTGGTGTGACTATGCCCACTGGGGGACTTTCTCTGTCTCTCTCTGGTCAGGGTGTGTGCCCTCTGGCAACTAAAAAAAAAATAAAAATCAGAAGAGAGAAGACAGATTTTTACAATGGAGTCAGAAGCACCAGCTCTAGGGCTGTGGTTAGAACCTGGGAGTTGAAAGTGGCCAGGCCAGGGGACCCCGAGGACTCCACGCCCTTGGTCTGGGAGGGAACCCAAGCATGAATGGTCTCTTCTAAAGCCCCCCATGTGATTCTTACATGCAACTAGGATTGAAAACCACCAGCAGGAACCAGCAGATGGCATAATGACTATGTCGCTGGACTCCTGCACAGTCAACCATGGTTCGAGTCCCAGACCCAGCAGCTTAAATTCATGCCAGGCACATGTGTGTGCATGTCCACGATCCCAAGAGGAGAATGGAGAAGAAGGGATTGTGGCGTGGCCATCCCCCCTGGGGGGTGATTTCTCTCTCTGTGTGTCTCTTTGTCTTTCCAGCAAGTGCACATGCCCTATAGCAAGAACCTCTCCAAAAAAAAGAAAAGGAAGAAAGTCACCAGGAGGGGAGAAGGGGTTCTGAGCTGCAGCTGCATCTGTTCCCTCCTCATACTTGTATTTGCCACGTGCTCTTCACCCTCTAAGACAGTCACTATTACTGCAGAACTAGGGCGCTATCGTGGTTAGAGGGTACGTCTAAGTGCCTGCGCTCAACGCCATTGGCAGACCCGCCCCCGGGTGGCCCTCTGGCGCAGGGACCACGCGGGGAGCCTCGGCAGACCAGCGGGCACTGGGACGGCAGAGCCGCTGGCAGGCATGCTGGCTCCGCAAGCTCTCCGTCACCCCACTTTGTCTTTACCAGTTTTATGAAAATACAGGCCAGTGACGTGGGGACTTAAAGGTTTTTAGCACAAAAATTGGCCTGGGGCTTCTGAGGGGGAGAAGCTGGGGCTCCCCACTAGGCTGTGACCCCTCCAGGGAAGAGACTGAGGCTCGCTGCATGTCCCCAGGGCCCACGGAGGGCAGCTCAGAGCAGGTCCCCATGACGGCTGAGCGACCAGGTGGCCAGGCCCTGACACGTCAGGCCTGGCTGGATGGCAGGCCACACAGGGACTCAGACCTTTAGGAGGCTCAATTCGGCATCAATGCCCACAGCCATCCAGACCCTGCCCAGGGCCTGTCCTGAGGTGGACGGAAGGCCCCCGCCGTGTGCGGAATCCCGGCCACCATGTGGTGGTGTTAGGAGGTGGGGTCTTTGGAAAGTGACGAGGTCATGAGAGGGGCCTATGATGGGGTCACCCCCACCTTCGGGGATCCCGCCCTAAGGCCAGCCCGGGGAGCTCTCTGTCCCTCCTGCCAGGGGAGGTTGTAACCAGCAGGTGGCCTCCGTGAAGCACAAGAATCTTCAGAACCCGATCTGATCACGTGGCCCTGGCCACAGCTCCAGCCTCTGGACTCTGGAAAAGCCTTTCTGTGTCCAGCGTGGTTGTTACAGAGCCGGCTAAGACTGGCCCCCCCTCCCCCCAAATGCCAGCAGGGAGATTCGGAAGCGTTAGGTGACCTGACAGGGTCGCTCAGAGCGTGCTGGAATAAAGGCTGACATTTGTTTGGCATCTGGGTGGCCTTCCAGTCTGCAGTCAAGGCTAGACTAGAATAACCTCCGTTTGTTGTGAAGAAGGAGCAGGGTAACGTTCCCTCCATCCTCCCTCCAGCCAGTGCCGCCGGGAGGGCACCGCTGTGAGCTGTGTCGGCTGAAGGCGATCTGAACGGACAAGGAAACCAACTGCGATCGCTACCCTCACCACCCGGGCGGTGGCGTTTTCTTCTAAAAGAACACCTCTGCTCGGAGGGGACTGTATTAGAACAATAAGCCTTTACACACATGCGTGCGCACACACACACACGCACGCACACGCAGGAATATCGATGGCCGGTCATCAGCACTGCGCACAGCCCCCCAGCACCCGTTCGGGCCCCAGAGCCTGCACTTACCTTCCTGGAATTGGGAATTGGGGCCCTTCAGGTGGGATAAGTGAGGTCCTAGTGGACCACGGCAGCCAAGGCCCACTGCTGATGTTCTCCTGAGAACGGAGAAATTGCACGTCACGCGGGGAAGGGTGTGTGAACGCGGAGGCTGGAGCCCTGTGTCCACAAGGCCAGAACACCAGGGTGGCTGGCGCCCGCCAGAGGTAGAAAGAGGTAGGGAGAGGCAGGGCGGGCCTCAGAGGAGTGCA